AAACTCCTTAGATAACCCAAATTGAAAACAAATCGTACATTATATAAAATAACAATTTGAAATTCGAACTCTTTGAAAAAAAAACTTTGGATTTTTTCCCGATTTTAGAATTTTTAGCTATTTTAAAAATGTAATTATCCCTTAACTTTGGTAAAACCGCGTTAAATTATTTGGACATCATCTATTCAGTTTCGCCACCACTCAATTAGGTACTACAATATAATCCGCCTGCAATTTCAGTTTTCAAGAAATCGAGTCAATTGAATAAAGTTAATAAAATTTAAAAAACGTTCGTACGCGGTAAAATATTGATTTTTTTGTTCATAGCTTATCCTCTTCTGAAATTATATTATTCGTATAGTTCCACTTACCCATAAAATAAAAGCTATAATGCAAATTAAGGTTGCATTGTTTACCAACTACTTTTTAAAGTCTAGCTTTTGCCAGTATTTTATATTTAAACTAACCCCCTATTGTGTTTTTATTTATTTTATTCCTTGTTACATTTGGTTTGTTATGCATTTCCCCCTTTCCCCGCATTGGAGCAAACATTGGTCACGGATTACGAGCCCTTGGTAAAAAGAAGTTAATCGTTTCTTCTTTTTTCTCTTTGCAAAGATATCCTCCTTAGCAACAAAATCAAAAACATACAGTCCACACACTTATCGTCATCATCTCGTTTCCATTAGAAACAACCAGGTTACGTACTGTTAACAAGTGCCTTGTAAAATTAAAAAACAATATTCTTTAAGAAAGAATTAAAAGAAACAAATTGTGTAAACAACAAAAGTCGTATCGTTTATTTGTTCAGTGACCGTTTTACAACGCGTCGCGTACCCCGTTCCCCCGCCGTCTAGATATGCAAATATTGTTTTGCCGTTGGCAATCGAAAAAAATCATAGAAAACAAATAAACCAAAATAATTCTGTAAAAGTGTATTGTTTTGTCTTTCCAAGTGAAAATAAAATATTGTTGTCGGGTGTAATTTTAATGTACGTTAAATTTCCTATCGATCGGTATAGTTGAAATTAAAAAATGTTTAAATTTTTTGCAAATCTGCATTTTTTGTAATTAAAATACTATTAAAATCACCCCCAAAAATACACGCAGCAATTAGATTGGTTTGTTTGGTTGTTCGCTAATAAAGGCCTGCACAAGACGAATTATATGAATTATGCTTTTTTCGACACACTGACTTTGTCTACTCAATCATGCGCTATGTATTTGAAAAGCAATGACAACCAACAACATCCCCCATTTTGATTCATGTGTGCCATTGTCTAAGGTTCGATCGTGGCATGGCTGACTCGAATATTTGCATGGTGTTCTCGAAAAATGCAGGGTGTCAACGATGACATCGAACTGTGTCATCGTCAAATTGTGTGTCATTTGTGTACGTGTGCTTAAATTGAGAGAGTGTGTGTGTGTTACTTTCGACGGTGAGGATGTGTTTTTGTGTGTGCTGTAATTTTGAAGTAACAAACACCGCATAAATATAAAATAGAGTTCAATAACAAAATGTGCATAGACATCAACAAATGAATAGAAAAATTATATATATTATGAACAATTCCAATTTATTGGTGATTATCATAAAATTTTGGTCATAAAAAAAAGGTAAATATTGTTTGCCTATTTTCTATCTACATGTAGTGTTCTTTTAAAATTAAAGTTTGTGGGCGGAGATTTGACTCTCATTCAATAACAGAATATGCACAGAATTGAACAATGGAAGTATATAGTGTTGTTACGTGAATTACAGTAGCACTCATTCTCATTTACACCTCAACACCGGAGGCAAACATTTATGAAATTATAATCAAAATAAGAACATTTTTCAGGGGATTATTGTTTTTTTTTTAATAAGGATTAACAATAACCACGAAATGAAAATTTTGTGTGGACCAATTATTCGCCAAGAAATTTTTTATTGCAAAAAAATTATTTTTTCACATATCGGAAAAGCAGGTAGCGATTGCGCTTTGCATTCATCACGTGTGTGTCTTTTTCGTTGGCAATTGTTTCATAATTGTTGTTGTTTTTTGGATAGAACATTTTTGCCTGACATATTCAACATTCTCTTTTATTGGTCATTACATGTTATGACGATGGGTTTGAGTGTGACCGACATGACGAGACATCGAGCATTTAGTTGTATGTCACGTACTGTTATGCGTTTGATCAAACAGGGCACAACATGATGAGCGTTTTTTCTCCATGGCATAAAGAGAGAAAATTGTCACATTTGCAGCGCTTTATTCGCTAACGATCGGTCAGCAACACGTACGCATTTTTGAGTTTGATATTTTTTGTTTGGTTGTTGCATTAAAAGTGAACCGTGATAAAATGTCCTGTAATATAATATATGAATAAAATTGATTTTTTGTTTTAATCATTAATAATGATAATTGGGTGTAAGAAAACGACGTTTTTGGAAAAAGTAAATAACGCGTGCACCCTACGATCGGTCAATACGACGTTTTAGTAAAAAGTCTTAGAATATATAATTTTTCGTGCGGAATTTAAAATTTTTAATTAATTTTGGGAATTTTGTTCGGAAATTTAATTTTTGGTAATTTTTTTTTGGAAAATCACGTTTAGTTCACTAAATTGTAGGTAACTTTTGATATAATATCGAAATAATCTCTATATTTTCGTCAGAAAGCTACAATATTTTGAATATTTTGTTGGCGAAAATGTTTTTTTTTTTTTTTTGGAAAATTACCTGAAAAATACAAAATTTTTAGATAATTGAATAAATTTTTATGTATATTTATTGATATATTTTTCAAATATTTTATTTTTATTTCTTAATCTAAACACATTATTCGTGGTACTTTTGTAGCGGCTGCTTAATCTCTCATCGGAGATTATAATTTTGGAATTAATAGTTCAAATTTTCATTTTTCACTATAGCGTGAGAGGTTCAAGGCAACTATTTCGCGAAAATTGTTGAATTTTTTGGCCCTATAGTGCGGCTTTTGAAATTTCTTGGAAGCTTTTCAGTACGTTTGTTGAACAGATTAGAAATTTGGTATAACTTTTCGAAAGTTTTGAGCTTTTGCTTTGATTTGTGGCTCCTTCGTATATTGTGCGAAGTAGGATTTGGTTTTTGGCTAATTTTCAGAGCAAATTGAGCTTGTTGTGTTTGTTCCGTAGTAGTAGAGTTATTGTAAATTACTTTCAAAATGTCTTGACTCCAATCGATGTGTTTATTAGAGCTTCAAGACTTTAAAATCCCAAATCAATGGATTAGAAAACTTGTTTGAAGGAGTACAGCAAAAGCTCGAAAAAGCTGTGATTTCATGATGACGTCTGTAGAGACATCTACAGAAGAAATAGATGAAATCGATCAGAGGTATAATGCATCATTTCAACTCTATCTGAGACGCCAGGCTTCGATTAATAGGAAGTTAGATCAATTTAAAAGGACTCGTTCTACTTCTGTTAATTCAAGTGTTAGTGTTTCAGTAGCGTCGTTATTAGAAACCCCGGGTGGAACCCTAGGAAAATCACCTAATCCAATTCTGCCGAAAACGTCGGTTGAAACGCTTCACTCGAAAACCCTTCTCAGATTCAGATTTTGTGGGGAAGAGTTGTGCTAGTTTTCCTTTTTGAAAGTTTTATTCGATATTCCTGTTCTCTATAGTGAGACTAGCTCAGGATTAAAGACGACCCAACGCGGTATCAATGGATGTTTAGCTTCGATGGCCACTTAAGAGGTCAAAACGGAAAATTGGCATCCAATTATTGTGTTTTTGTCTCTCCAATGACTGCCAAAAATAACTCAGACTCTTTGTGAGCAGAGTGTGAAAGATAAATCCTATCTTTCATCTTCTTCCCCCTCGCGCTTTGAAAAGTTCTAATTGGGTTATTTGTAAAGTTATGAAACGTCACCATCTTTTTATAAATTGTCTTCGTAACGAACATGAAGTAAAAAATGCGATAGCAAATGTCGTTGTTCTAAGTACAATAAGGCGCATCAAATATTGTTGCACCGTGATGATATTACATTGGGTAATTCGAATGTTCCTCAAAATTCGAGTTCCAGTCTATCTAGTTCGGGAAATTGTGCAGCTTCGACTGGATGTGTATCCCGTCAAGTGTTCCACACCGCACAGAACAAATCTGTACTTTTACGTACGGCGATGGTGCACGCAGAAAAATATATGTTAGAAATATATTTGGATCCAAACATATATTTGTTTGGGACTGGTTGCAACATTTTGTAACATAACTCAATTTTATTTGTTGGGTACCAACATATTTTATATGTTAGAACATATTTTTTTATGTGTGCAGAGGGGGTTTTGTCAAAGAACTAAACAACAGAGCTCTCGATTACTTTTTAGTTGGTGTTATAGGTGACTTACAAAGAAGACGGGAGGGTGAGAGGTCTGTTTTTGCGTTGATGATGTGTTGGCTTGGTTGGCCGCACAACAAAGCTCTCTTCCAAATATAACTGTAAATAGAAGTTGTATGTATTCATGAACATTAGTAATAAGTAATGTCTTAGCAACAACTAGAAAATACACACCGCACAACAACAACAAAGAAAAAACTTTTTGCATGTTTTTTCGTTGTTGTTGTTGTGCGGTGTGAATTTTCTAGTTGTTGCTGAGACGTTACTTCTTACTAATGTTCATGCATACATACATACATGCGTTTTTCGCATAAACACCGACATATTTACAGAGGAGTCAATTTTTTGTGTGTTGTTGTTGTAACGATTTCTTTCCCAAGTAGGCATTTTTGGGTGCATGGACAATAGAAAAGAAATAAACGTCTCAGCAACAGTTTCCATCCCTTTCGCCGCGCACACACCGCACATAGTTACAGCAGCGATCGGCAGTGTTTGCTTGATGAGAGCAAAAGAGCGTAAAATTTGCGCGTGTCTCAAGTTGTTTGGATGTTTTTTTGTTGCTGTGATGACTGATGCATTCTGGTTGTGTTCTTTTTTTATTCTTTTTAGTTGTTTTGTGCCTTTGCGTCGTATCAGAAGTGTTTTAATAAATGTTGATACCAACTGTTTTGGGGGAAGACAAATTATTTGTCGAAGCAACAGAGCCTTTAAATCTACAAAGCTTTATAAAAGCAGCCACGTTGGAATTTAAAATTTATGCCCCATGAAATATAACAGCCTTAGTTTTTGGTGTAACTATAAAAGAAGACCAGTTTGAAAAAGTTATTCATCAATATATATCAACACCAACTTTTCATATTGAGTTGCAATTTGGAGGTAAGTATACTGCATTTACAGCCTGTTTCTGTATGTCGAAACAAAAACACTTTCGTTTCAAAATAAAGAAACAGACTGTTAATATTTTTTCCTTTTTTTAAATAAGGTATGTACATAATTAATTTTCATTTAGACTCCGTTCGATCAGTGGCATCAGCATCGACAGTTAGTGGTACTTTATCGGAGTGTGAATCTGTAGGTGGTTCTGAGGATTTTACTCCAAAAACAAATGTAATTTCAATATTAAAGACTGACATACAGTCCATAAAGTCAATTCCGGCTATCAACAAAATATGGAGAACTTTTATTGAAGAAAAACGCCTGCAAAATAAGGATAGGGTGAATATTTCGAAGGCCATTATTGACGAATGTCTAAAAGAAGACCCCAACAGATTGTAAGTATTTTACTTTATTGAAAAAATAGTGATGTTAATAAAAGGAAAAATAATAAATAAATAAAGATAATAACAAATATTAAGAATAATAGTAATAATAATAAATTAAAAAATTAATATAAAATAGAAATGTTATGAGAATTGACACAATATAAAGTATAAACTTATTAACAACATTTTGTTTTATTTTATAAATAACAAAAATATTTTATTTATAAAAATTAAAACATAATAAATTAATATTAGAAACATAATAATAATTTTAAGCATAATAAAAATTGTAATAATTAATATAATATTAATATCAGTAATAAACAATTGTTAAAAATAATAATATTAAAATAAAAATTCTAATTATAAAAAATATTTTAGAAAATAAAAAATTATGTCTCATTATTATTATTTTTTATTTTCATTATAAATAATAATGAACATATTAAAAATTGAATATAAAATACATTTACTTTATTAATTTTAGGATTATTTTTTATGTTAATAATAATCGTAATTTTATCTTAATAATTAATTTTTATCAATAGCGAAAATAAAAATTAATAATAATGAAACATATTTTTTTATTTTCTTTAATATTTTTATAATTAGAATTTTTATTTTAATATTATTATTTTTACAATTGTTTATTACTGATATTAATATTATATTAATTATTACAATTTTTATTATGCTTAAAATTATTATGTTTCTAATATTAATTTATTATGTTTTAATTTTTATAAATAATATATTGTTGTTATTGATAAAATAAAAATGTGTTAATAATTTAATATTAATTATTAATATCAATATTTTATTGATTTTCATCAGTTTCATAATTATTTTGTTTTTAATATTTGCAAAAGTTTTATATTTTTTTGCTTTTATTATTTGTTATTACTTCAATAATTATCGTTATTTATTTATTAAAAAATATCTTTCAGACTTAAACGTGAAGATTTTGAAGTTCTGGCCGAATCGATTGTCCACATTTTTTATACCGAATTAGCTTCTGCATACTTCCTCCCCTCTGAGAAAGGCTGTATTGCTAGAGGAAAGTTGTGGAGTGCGTACAATAACAAAAGGACATCTTTACGTTCTGATGGAATAATAAGTCGAAGATCTCGCAAGGACCTTAAGCGTAAAGCAAATGAGTCTCTCCCATGTAAGATATTGGTTTATAGCCTACACCACTATGTGGTAAAGGATGTTAGTAATGGTTTGTAGTCGTAAATTCACCAATATAGAATCATTTAGATCCCATTTGAGAAAACATTTATGTGTTGAACTTAGAGAAAGATCAGATGAACATCAGCCTGTAGTTAGTCAAGAACTAGATATTCATCATATTTCAAACGAATATTTACAACAATATTCAGAGCCTGTGGCTAATGAAGATTTTGAATCTAGCACTTTATTGTCTCTAAAAATAGAACAGATTCGAATGGAATTGCTGAAAGTATTTATTAAAATATACAGTCATAAGACAATTTCACGGAATTCAGCAATAACAAATACTAAACAAATAGTGCTGTTTTACTAAAAATACCTTTTTATCTGCAGTTACTGCTTTCAAAATGGGACGACAATGAAAAGAAAAAGGAATTAATTTTATCTGTGTGTAATTTAATACAAGCAAGCCAATTAAATTCAGAATACAAAATTATATCAGAACTAAAACGTAGTAAATTATTTTTCGATATTGAATATCATAATATACAAGATGAAATTAATGAATGTATGGACTTGGATAATTCAGTTGTTTTAAAAAAAATTAATAATACTGTAGGGATATTTCCTTTAAAAATATTTTTTGGCGTTCTTTTCAATTCTACGCCTTTTCTTCGCGACATTATTTTATATTACCAAAATTTGTTGACAGACCAAAATAATGGCACCATAAAAAACTATGTTCAAAGTAATCACTGGAAGAAAATAATATCTAAATATCCAAAATCGAAAGAAATATTTTATTTGCCTTTATTTATTTTCAGTGATGACTTTGAACCGAATAATGCTCTAGCTTCGCACGCTGGCATCCAAAAAATTTGTGTTGTGTATGTAAAAGTCGCGTGTATGCCAGACCATATGTCTTCGAAATAACAAAATATTTATACAGGAATGCTTCTCTTTAGTGAAGACAGGAAACAATTTGGAAATTCCCGTGTATTCACACCATTCATAAAATGTCTGAACATCCTAGAGAGTGAGGGAATAATTTTAGATTCAGAAATAGAAGGATATAAGGTCGTAAAAATTGTTTCTGTTTTGGTTCTAGGCGATAATTTGGGGTTGAATACTGTTCTCGGATTTTCAGAAAGTTTTCAAAGCAATTTTTTTTGTAGATTTTGCAAAATGAAACGTTGCGATACGCAGACATCTTGTGAAGAAAAATCAAGTTTGTTGCGAAATGTCATTAATTATGCTGATAATGACATCAGACGCTAGACAGACAGGCATAAAAGAAACATGCGTTTGGAATAAATTAGAACATTTTAATGTACTTAACAACTTTGCCATTGATGTTATGCATGATTTGCTGGAGAGTGTTTGCCATTACGATTTGATATTCATTTTAAATTCATTTATTACAAAATATAAGTTTTTTACTTTAGAACAGTTAAATTATCGCATTTTGGTATTTAATTATGGTCCTAACTGTAAGAATAAGCCACCCATTTTAAATAGTGATGCTCTTCTGAAATTTAAGTTTAAAATGTCTGCATCTGAAATGAAAACATTTTCTTCTAATCTATCTTTAATAATAGGCGACTTAGTCCCAGATTGCGAAGAATGGCACTTGTATAATGCATCATTTCAACTCTATCTGAGACGCCAGGCTTCGATTAATAGGAAGTTAGATCAATTTAAAAGGACTCGTTCTACTTCTGTTAATTCAAGTGTTAGTGTTTCAGTAGCGTCGTTATTAGAAACCCCGGGTGGAACCCTAGGAAAATCACCTAATCCAATTCTGCCGAAAACGTCGGTTGAAACGCGAAACCAATTGAATGTTTCGAATGAGGCTTCACTCGAAAACCCTTCTCAGATTCAGATTTTGTGGGGAAGAGTTGTGCTAGTTTTCCTTTTTGAAAGTTTTATTCGATATTCCTGTTCTCTATAGTGAGACTAGCTCAGGATTAAAGACGACCCAACGCGGTATAAATGGATGTTTAGCTTCGATGGCCACTTAAGAGGTCAAAACGGAAAATTGGCATCCAATTATTGTGTTTTTGTCTCTCCAATGACTGCCAAAAATAACTCAGACTCTTTGTGAGCAGAGTGTGAAAGATAAATCCTATCTTTCATCTTCTTCCCCCCCGCGCTTTGAAAAGTTCTAATTGGATTATTTGTAAAGTTATGAAACGTCACCATCTTTTTATAAATTGTCTTCGTAACGAACATGAAGTAAAAAATGCGATAGCAAATGTCGTTGTTCTAAGTACAATAAGGCGCATCAAATATTGTTGCACCGTGATGATATTACATTGGGTAATTCGAATGTTCCTCAAAATTCGAGTTCCAGTCTATCTAGTTCGGGAAATTGTGCAGCTTCGACTGGATGTGTATCCCGTGAAGTGTTCCACACCGCACAGAACAAATCTGTACTTTTACGTATGGCGATGGTGCACGCAGAAAAATATATGTTAGAAATATATTTGGATCCAAACATATATTTGTTTGGGACTGGTTACAACATTTTGTAACATAACTCAATTTTATTTGTTGGGTACCAACATATTTTATATGTTAGAACATATTTTTTTATGGGTGCAGAGAGGATTTTTGTCAAAGAACTAAACAACAGAGCTCTCGATTACTTTTTAGTTGGTGTTATAGGTGACTTACAAAGAAGACGGGAGGGTGAGAAGTCTGTTTTTGCGTTGATGATGTGTTGGCTTGGTTGGCCGCACAACAAAGCAGAAACGAAACATTTTTTGCTCTCTTCCAAATATAACTGTAAATAGAAGTTGTATGTATGCATGAACATTAGTAATGGATAGTATACTTCATAAGCTTTCCGTAGGTACCCATATTGTGCCGGCAGTTAGCAATCCTTAACGTGAGAACATCGTGAAATAGAGCTCCGTACTACACAAGTCGAAATTAATAAAAAAAACTGGCAAATATTATCGATTGTCTTTTCAAAAATATATCTTCATATGTTTTAAAAACTATTTTTTTCGGGTAACATCGAGAATGCCTAGTAAAAGTAGAAGAAGTGTGAAAAACAATCAAATATTTTGTGGACAATGCAATCTTGTTGTAAATGAAGAAGAAGAATCAATTGAGTGCGACAAATGTAAAAAAAATTCTTCACGTTGTGTGCACTAAGCTGAACAAAAGAGAATATCAACATCTCTTAAAAAATGAATGTGAAGACTTTGTGTGTTACCTTTGTAGTGAGAGTAGTGGAAGCCTTCAAACTGAGCTGAACTTAATAAAAAGAGAGCTAAAGAAACTGGATCAATTAACAGCAATGCATGAAACTAAAAATTTCATGTCAAAGCAATATGACGAAATACTTAAAGGAGTTGATGAAAATAAAAGAAAATTAGAAATAATTGAAAAAGAAAACAAACATTTAAGAGAAGAAGTTAAAGTCTTGAGAAGTTCTATTAAATACATTAATAATGAGAGAGTAAAAAAATGATTGCATTATATCTGGTGTTGTAAAAACTGATAATGCTACGGCAATGTGTTGACATAACCGAAGAAAATATTGAAGATGTATTCTTTATGAGAAAGAAACAATCGAAGAATACTGCTCAATCGATTGTTGTTAAAACGAAATCAAAAGAAACGAAAAGCAAAATCATGTCGATGAAAAAGAATTTAAAGGAAAATGAAGAAACAAAAAATGTGTATGTTAATGATTTTCTAAGCTGTGAGACTATGATTTTATTCAATTATGCCAAATCATTAAAGAACGTTGGTTTTCGCTCGGTTTATGCTGCTGGTGGGAAAGTGTTTGCAAAACGAAGCGAATTATCGAAGCCCAGAGTAATCCGTAATGAGGATGATGTCAATAAATTACTGCTTGAAGCAACAACTTATAAAACCACCCGAGAAAGATGCCAACATGAAGCTATTGATGAAGAAGAGACATATCTATCATCGTAAATTTTATAAACATTCTTTTTTAATAAGTGTTATCAACTTTGAATAAAATCCATTTTTCTTTTTTTTTATGTCAAATAATTACTTTAGTGAATTTGCATTATTTAAAAAACATTTACAAATTCTGAATAATATACCTTTCAATGTAATGTCAATAAATATGAAAAGCTTATCTTCCATTAATAAATTTAATAGGTTCAGGACATTGCTATCGAGTTTGTCAAAGTTGCCTTGTGTTGTTTCTGTGCAGGAATCTGGTTTAAGAGCGAAGTTTCTCAGCTGGTTACAGAGCGGTGCACTGTTGTAGAGCTGATGGGTTTGGAGGAACTTCTGTATATGTTAGGAATGACATAAAGTTTGATATTGTTTTGTGCGAAAGTCGTAATTTTAGAGATTTGGTTCAAATCAGTTTGGCCGAAGTTAAATGGCTTGGTAAACCTGTAAGGCTTGTTTCATTTTATAGATCCCAAAAATGCCCAACCAATTTATTTCTTTCCTTTGTAGACGAAACGTTAAACAAATTTGGGATATATCCATGTATGTTTGTTGGAGATGCTAACATAGATATGTTAGACGATGGCACCAAAAAAAGTTGTTATTCTTTATTAATATTTTGAAGGTATTTCCGATATAGTCTCTGTAGAGTGTGAATTGACTGACCATAACATCGTTTACTTTTGTGTAGGTAATTCCATTGTGGATCATGCCAGCAATAATAAAACTTACTCTTTTATTAATCAAGATAATTTGATACGATGCACTGAACGAGATTTACCTATGTTTTGTATTACTGGAAATCCATCGGTTGATATGGCCAACTTAATAACCAAAATTCAGAAATGTTTGGAAGAATCTACAACTATTAGAACCTGAGAAAAATAATAGAATTTAAGGAAAATTTATTAAAATCCAGACGTAAAAATAAAGGTGGTTATTTAATAGAAAAACAGCTTAAGTCT